GGGGTCATAAGATCATCTTCTATCCAAAATTTCATTGTGAGCTTAACTACATTGAAATGTATTGGGGGGCTGCTAAACGGTATGTTAGGCAACATTGTAATTACACATGGAAAGGTCTTCAAGAGAATGTTCCCAGAGCCTTTGATTCTATACCATTGAAACAAATTAGAAAATATGCAAGAAGGGCTGCAAAACTTATGGACTGTTACAGGAAAGGCTTAACAGTGTTACAGGCTGAATATATTGTAAAAAAATATAAATCTCATAGAAAGATTCCAGATAATGTTGTAGAAGAAATTGATGAATTAATATAAATGCATTTTTTGGAAAATCACGTGATAAAAATTAAAAATGTCATTTTTGTAATGAAAGTGATAAAAAAAAATTTGCTTTTTTTTTTTGAATTTGAAACATTTTGCACAGAATTTGATGTGTTAGAGTGACCCGCACCGTACTGGTTTATTTCTTGTTGAGCTATTCCGTGATAATCGTTTCTCAATTTTCACTTCGTGATACATGTAAATCATTTCCGATTTATATGTTCGTTTCCCGTGATTTATAATTTACTATTTTACAATATTCAATTACGATTATAGAATGAAAAATGCATTAGAACATTTGAGGAAAAAAAGTCATTATAATAATCATTTTTATGTTGAAACTGGGAAAATATTGTCATTTTTGTAACCATACTATAAATCATTAAGAAAAATCAATTGTTGATAACCATATAGAATCAACGAAACATAAAGCTGCTGAACAAAAACATAAAAATAATCCACAACCTTTACAAAGCTCTTTGCTTTATTTTGCTAATAATGATCATGACAAAATCAATATTGCAATTATTGAAGCATTTACTAAAGCTGATATTCCTCTGGATAAAATAGATAAATTAAAGTCTTTTTTTAATTCATATTGTAAGAATGGTAAGAAAATTTTCATATCAAAAAAAATCAAAATAAATTAATTTGAATATTTTAATGTAAATTTATCATTTATTTTTGTTTTTATTATTTCCTAGGAGGTTACATTGTAGGTTCAAATCAACTTCAAGGAAAATATTTGCCAATGAGTTATGAATTTGAAGTACAGAAATTAAAAAATATAAAAAATAAAATGATTAGTATAACTGTTGGTGAAACTTCCTGTGTCCAATGAGGACCCCGGAAACTCATATCAGATGTTCCTGGCAAAATTGGGCAAATTTTATAGTCTTTTTACTCAGCCTATCATCTATTAACTTTACCTTGTCATTAATAGGAACCTTTTTTTTTGTCATATGTTTTTTACCCTTCTATTAGTCAGGACCCTTTTTTTAAATGTTTTGTTACAATTATACATTTATTTATTATTTATTATTTATTATTTATTATTTATTATTTATTATTTATTTATTTAATTAATCATCCTTGCTATTAAAAATAGAAACTAAATGTGAATGTGTTTCATCTGCATTAAAAAATGAATAAACATCTAATGAATCTTGACCTTGTGCTTTGGCACTGCATGCTCTTTTGCTATGTATATGACTGGAAAAAATTGAATCAATTAAATTGTTTTTTTAATAAAAATATAAATATAAATATATTTCTTACATTTTTAAGTTTTTTAGTGAGTACTGTTTATCTAATTTTAATTCTTTTCCATATATGCATCGAATATGGTTTGGATTAATTAGCCATGAAAAATATTTATGTCTGCACAATTTTATTTCCTTAGGACACATATAAGGTTTTCCATCAAGTGGAAGTTCGTTGTATTCATCATTACTGCATTCATCTAAGTTATCATTATGTTCATTGGATTCATCACCATCTGTATCATTATTTGCATCAATTTCATCAAAGGAATGTTTCTATGAGTATTGTCAGCAATTAAAGGGAAATTAAGGGTTGTCTGTTGTGGTTGATTTATTGTATTAGAAGGTATAGTTTCTTTATTATGGTCTATAGATTTATTTTTACCCTTTTTGTGGCTTGAATCAAAATGTGTAATAGATATTATAAGGAAATCAAGGGTTGTTTGTATACATTTTTGTTGTGAGCATTCCCCATTATTTTCGTGAGAAATTTCGTGAAAAAAAAAATTTTCAAATTGATCATATGATGTGGTAACACCAACTATATTATATATATATGACTTTATCCTGTTACAGCATAGTGGAAATTCTATTTTGATCAACATTTGCAATTGTCACATTTACATTTTAGTAGAAGATCTTCATGTTACATACATAATAAAATTCATTTGAATTATAAATTTAAATTAAAGAGTTTTTTATGTATTTTTCTTTTTTGCATGATGTACAAACATATGTATTCGAATTTATTTATTTAAATTTTGTGATCTTACATATTCTTTGATACATAATAGTAAAGCTTTATATTAATATAATACTTTCCCATTATTGAAGAAATAAAATATGCATATTTGTATATACAGTTTACCCTCTCTATAACAAACACCAAGCAAATCTCTATATATAACAAACTTCACTTTTTTTTATAATAATAATTAATTTCTCCTTATAATCTTAGTAAACACAAATAAAAGTAGATGGATTCTTATTAATAGTTTCTCACTTGCTACAGTTCACTCTCTATATAATGAACCTTCCATAAAATAAATAAATGTTTAAATTTTCACTAATACACTAAAGAAAGTAAACATACATACATAGTCAAATAAAAGCCAATGTAAAAGATCCATATCAATAAGAAAGTTCTGGAAGAATTAATGTTATATGCTTTATATGTAATTTGAACCTTTTATGCATTTTCATGAGTGTGGTCCTAATACCTTCAAATATCACTAATATGCGTGTATCTTTTCCTACACTTTTATATATTTCTTTAATGAAAGAGTAAGGTATATATACAACTTTTATTTTCTTTAAAAAAAAGAGATATACAATTTATGGACAAAAATACTAAATGGATTGATTTTTTCCAATTTTGAAGATCATTAATATTAAAAAAATTAATAAATCAATAGGTAGTATGCCATGAAGGGTTGATGCTGTTTTAGAAAGTAGAGGAAACCCGACAAGATAATTTTTTTTTTTTAATAAAATATAGTGCAAGACACCTAGTCCCACAATTTTTTATTGTCCTTGTAGATCCTTCTCTAACTCCAAAAATGGAAATGTAACACCAAAAAAATAAGCCGTAATTTTGAAGCTA